GGTGTTATTTTCCGTGGCGTGCTTGTTTAGGCGGGTGAGAATGACGCTTTCAGTGATTTTACTGGGCGATGAGAGTAGGCTAATGGGTCTGTGGCTTGCGGGGTTGCTGAGGGGTTTTCCCGGCTTCGGGAGGCAGATGACCGTAGCCACCTTCCACGCAATTGGGAAATAACGAAGGCGCATCACGGCGTTGGTGATGTTGCAAATCGCCGTGATGAATTTTTGAGGGAGGATTTTCAGGACGCTATTTGAGATACCGTCACTGCCAGGGGCTTTTCGAGTTTTTAGGGATCGGATGATGCCTCTGATTTCGAAGGGTGTGCAGTGTTCGAAATCTGGATTGTCAAGGACCTGTTGCTGCACCGTGTGGGTGATCCTCGCGTGTTCCTGCGCTAGTTCTTCAGCGCTAAGGTTGGGAGCATGTCATGAAATAATCAAACCCCCGCACACCTGCCTTATACCGTACCGTGAACCACGGGTGATCGAAGATCAGTTCCTGATACCTTTCCGGATACAATATTACTCACTGTAGCATCTAAATACAGTGATGCAGAACACTGAAATCCCCAGACTAGTGGGTTCCCAGTTCAAAGCGCAGACATCGGTGTATTCGGAAAGCGTGGCGTTTCTGTTGGATCCGTTTGCTCCATTGGAGGGGGATCCAGACGCATCCGTGGGAGGGACAAATTGGCGAACCAGTAAGGACGATCCAAACAAACCCACTCTAATGCCATGCCGAAAAATGGACACGGGACTGGGGAATTAACGACCCAAATTCATGGATCGAAAATCCAGAGACCTATCCAGGGAGGAATCGGACTAAGAGGACTTCCAGACTGCTAAGAACTGGAGCAAGTTCAACCGGGGCTCTGCACCAGGACAGATCCGAGTCCAAAGTGACATGAAAGAACTTCTCGGACGAAGGGATGCGGGTTAGAGAGGGCTCTAACGGACAACCAGCTGGGATGCAGAGACACAGCAGTGCCAGCGGAAAAGGTCAAGAAACCGCGAATGCGACAACCGGGACCCACAGTAGCTGCTATGTCGAGAGTGACTGCGAGGGGAGATACGTAGCAGCAGCAGTGGTGGTGCAGGCCATTGCTTGAGCAAGAGATCGGGAGTTGGTCTGGAGTAGAGTCTCGAGCTGTACGCTTAAGAGCATTTCTACTTTACCAACTTCTCTGTTGTGAAAAATTATGGTTATTAACTAATTCTATAGCTGTTTAAACCTAAAATAAGGAGAAGAACGCTAAGCTGGCACTTTGAGAGATCAATCGAGCCCAAATTCAATGCAATCCGTTGTGAATTGAAAGAGAAAGGTTACATTTCCTGAGCATGAAAGACTGTCAGTGTGCATAACCGGAAATGTAACTTTTTTCAATAAATGATGTTTTGAATTATCTAAAATTTGAACTCAGCCTCTAAAATAAAAAGGTAAACGCAGCTCTTCTCATAGTTTTGCAAATATTGGGTTTTAAAAATTTATTTTTATCGTAAAAGGCATTACATAACCTATAAATCTGCATGTGTTGAGAATTTTATCGTAAGTTCAAACTTTGAACTGTATATTTTCAAAAACCATGAGAGAACCGGTGTCTGTCTTTTTATTTTAGAGGCTCTGTCAAAATGTCAGATAATTCAATGCTGTACTTATTGAAAAAAAGTTACATTCCAGATTGTGCATACTGACATCACAGTCTTTCATGCTCAGGAAATGTAACTTTCCTCTCTCAATTTGCAACGAATTGTATTGAATTTGGGCTCAATTGATTTCTCAAAGTGACAGCTTAGGGGCTCTTTCCTTATTTCGGGTTTAAACAGATATCTAATTAGTTATTCACCATAATTTCTCACAATAGAGAAGTTGGTAAAGTAGAAACTCCGGCCAATATACTGAATGCCCTTAACTGCGAGCAGCGAGAGCTTTGGTGGTGAGCGGGTTTTCGTGGTGAGAGAAGAGTTTGAGAGTTTGAGAGAGAGAGAGAGAGAGAGAGAGAGAGAGAGAGAGAGAGAGATAGAGTTGTCAAGAAGGTGTGTCCAGTGTTGAAAGAAGTGTGCGCGCGAGTCTAGCAGCTGCTGTGTTCTCCCCAGACAACGAGGTCTCCAGGTTGAGGACACTACGAAAACCACTGAGACAAGAAGAAGAGGGTAAGAAAGAAGAGAAAGAGCAAAGCCGTAGGACGAACGACCCGCTCGAGGACCCCAGACGACATCGCGCTGGGTTGGACTCGCGGACGTTTGACCAGGAGGTGAAGCTAGAGAGAGAGAGAGTGTGTGTAGTGTAGACAGAGCGAGAGAGAGAGACAGAGATGAGAGAGAGAGAAGTATTGTGTGGGTTGACGAGATGAAGTGTACAGAAGACCGTGCGGTGCATGCTTGGGAGTGCCGCCATTGTTCGCGCATTTCGTCGTGTCAGTGTCAGTCATGTGTGAAGGTAGAGAGAAAAGTTGAGAGAGAGAGAGAGAGAGAGAGAAAGAAAGAGAGAGAGAGAGAGAGTAGTATCTTCGAGTAGGTAAGAGAGAGAGAGAGAAAGTCTGTGAGTGTAAAGAGCAAGAGCTGGGCAGAGAGAGAGAATATAGTAGTGTGTGGGATTGTGGACAGAGTGTAAGTGTGTGTATGTTAGCGTGGGTCTAGGACTAGCAGAAGCCCTTCCTGGTTCAGGACGAGCAGAACGTGGTAGACGTGCGATTGCGGCTCACGTGGTGCGAGGTGGAGTCGCTTCAGCACCGCCCAGAGGGAGAGGTGAACCGTTGTAGTGTAGATGATGGTGTAAAGAGTTACTGTGTAAGTATTAGTGTAAGGTGATTTGAATAAAGGAATAGTGAAAACTCGCGAGGTGCGGCCGATTCCCAAAAAGCTGGCCAAAATTTGAAAAATCAAGTAATTGTTTCAAAATTTCTTACTCGGGGGTCTTCGAGGTCACTGATTACGAATTTGATTTTAAAAATTTGAAGATACACCCCCATCCACCCCTATTGACCACCCCCTCACGTAAAATACCGTATATTCTTGAACATAATTAAGATGCATGTCAATTTATAGGTTTTCGGAGTCGCTGATTACAAATTTGATTTTAAAAATTATAAAATCCATCCCCTTTTACCCTTATTGGCCACCTCCTCACGAGAAATACCGTATATTCTAGAACGTAATCAAGATGCATGTCAATTTATAGGTTTTTAAGGTCGCTGAATTTGATCTTAAAAATTTAAAAATTTACCCCTTCCACTAGAATTATGAAATTCAAAATGGCGGATCCAATAAAAGTCAATACAAACATTTTTAATTACTGTAACAAATTATCAGCAAAATAGTCTATTCCACAATTAAAATTTTTTGAAAGAAATGTATGTATTCTTTTCTTTTGTAATAACAGAAATCTGATAAAATGAAAAGTTTGACATAATTCCTGTACACTCAAGTTTACGGTAATGTGACCGGTCTTGGGTGTGCAGTTGAGAGCATGGTGAAGTAACGTAAGAGGTGAGCTCTTCCGAATTGAACACATGCACACACACACACGCACATGAGTATACATCGAATTTGTATAGAAATCTACGTTACTAATACAAGCAGATCCCCTCTTTAAAGTATAGGCTTTCACTGTTTTCTCCCATTCTCTTTTCGTATTTATTTCTTGTGCACAAAGAATAGCATAAAAGCCAAGGTAGCAAGTGGTAGCAGCTGAATCTTGTTTTATTCAGTAACTATTACTTTTTTCAGTAACCTCTAATAGGTTTCAAAGCAGCATATGACGGCGTTGTGTTACTATACAATTTGAAAACTCGAATTTTATAAAAAAATTGCAAAAAATGTATCTACGTATTGCTGCAGCTAAAATTTTATGTCGAGGTATTGATATGTACTAAAGATTTCTCGTATTTTACTAACCTTCCGAAGTTGATTCCATTTGGTTTTGTTCAATTTACTTCATTACAAAATCTGTCACATGCGTACAACTTTCACTATTCCTCGACAGTAATACGATGATCAAACGAAGGCCACGTTGCGACTGAAAAAACAGAGGATACTTAGAGTATAGGACATTGCTATGAACGGTTTTCACTTCTCAAGGGATTACTGTAGCCAACCCAAAGACAAAAAAAAGTCTATCTAGAAACTTTTTTTTTCGACTTTTGGCCAGCTTTTTGGGAATTGGCCGTACTGTGCATTGGGCTTATTAATGTTAGATTCTATTATGTAATTACTTTCAGTTTTCTTCTTGTCAGTCTTTCAAGAACCTTTGGCAGGATGACTTGAGTCCCACATTTTTCCGGCAACGTATTTTTCAGAACATTTTATCTCTTGACGAATTTTTACCTCATTCATCTTCTTTTCTTCTGTAAGGTAGTACTAAAAATTTTCTAAGTATAAATAATATCTCAATGATATATCTAATATATTTTTGTTTGAGTATGATGGATTAAAAATTTTGTATGTTTCACCTTTTACTGCTTTCAATCGTGTACTATCCAATGCTGGTTTTGCAGTCATCTTTATCTGCCAATACCCTGTATCGCTTATACTACATCTTTTTATTTCTTCAATGCCGATAATGCTAACCAAAATTGTCTTTACAAACGTTGAGCTTTCAGATTTTTTTCTGGTTGCCTTGTTGCCAGCATTATCATACTGTATTTTAGTATGAATACGCCACTGACACAATGTATCTATAAATAATTCAACAATAATATCAAGCTGATAATTATAGTATAAGTAAAAAATTATAAATTGGTTACTTCTTACGTGCTTGGTCGGACATATCCAACAGCTGCTTCAGTTCCGGTAAATTTATCGAAGTAGTTACCACCTCTAGCTGTAATTTAAAGACATTGTATTTATTGTTAAAATTTTTTTAATACTTATTAAATAATTATTTTTTAGTATTTTACACACTTCTTACCCAGACTAGTAGTAACAATAGAAACGCATATATATTTTTAATTAGGAAGTAATAGAAAAGTCAATTTTGACTGGGATCTGTTGTTTAAAAGTTTAGATAGTAAGTGTTGCAAAGTTTACTTTTCCAATAAGTTTTCGTCTCATACCACATTTTTAGATGTGAAAATAAGTTTCTACAATGAATTGAATAAACCCACACAATTTTCTAATTATTTACACCTCATGAAATAAAGGTTTTTGTAAGATTTTACATGTTAAAAAACTATTATCATAAGAAATGATGAGCTCAAAAACTTTAGTTTTGTTTGAAGTGCATCGAAAAAAAAAAGAACATCTGCTAAGTTCCAAGTCTATTCTCACCTTTTTCATCTAACTTTTCTAATATTTCCTCTTGTATTCGTATGTTTAGGTTTCGTAATTTCCGTATTTCATTCCCTTGTTTGCATAATTCCTTGTAACTTCTTTCCATATTAGATTTTCTAGCTTGACTAGCTTTTAATTTGAACTTGCTGAAATCCGCAATTTCTTCTTCGTATTTGCAACAGCTGTCTTTCTTAGATTTTTTTTTTTCGATTTCTTCTCTTTGACATTACGTTTAAAAGTAGAACTGCAGGTACTTGAAAGCTTATTATTTTGTTTCAAATTTTGTGAACATTCAGTATTTTTAATTGTATGATCATTGTTATCGACTGGCATTTGAACAGCTGATGATTTGACAAGAAGTTCTATGTTTTGAGAATTTGATTTGTTATGAGTCACCGAGGCCTCATTTTTTTGAAACATTGATTATACTCTAGTGCCGCTGGGCGATCTGGGACATTCCTCAACTGTTACCTTCAGACTATTTAATGGCGTGACTACTGTTGCGACAACTTTTGAATGAACGTCTTCCATACCAACGATTGAACTTTCATTTGTATCTGTTGAATTGGTCTGAAAAACCAATACATTTGGAAATTAAAATGTAAAAAAGGTCACACTGTTATTCCAAAGACTTAGAAGTAAGCAGGTATTTGATAAACCATTGTTAGTTGGATAAGAAACATTATTTTATTTTAGTCACACACACACACACACACACACACACACACACACACACACACACACACACACACACACACACACACAGAGAGAGAGTACTATATCGTAGCTTTTTTTACTTGATTTATTTATTACTGATACTTATATTCCCACCAAAATTAGTGTTAACTTGACTTGTAGTGATGAGCTTCGAATAATTAATTGTAAATCAGTAAAATAACTACTTTTCGATTATGTGTGTATACAATAACAAAAGTATTATACATATTTACCAAGTCAAATAAAGGAAGTTGTTGTACAGAGGCACTTTTGAGACTTATTATCTTCTTTTGAATCATGTATACTTTCCGACTCTTTGTGTATATCAACTGACCGTAGTGAATGAGTTTTCTTTTTTTTTTCTGGCTCACTTTCAATGTAATCGATACCTCTTTTCTGTCGTATTATAATAAAAATTATAATNACTTTTAAAGTATTTTTCGACAATGTACTTTTTACTTTTTTTAGTAAAGTTACAAATGCTCAATATTGTCAAAGATATAGAAAAAACTTAAATTACAAAAACAAATGTCTCAACTTGACGCTGCATTATCTTCACAGAATTATGATCTTCAAAGGTATTACACGTTTTTATATTTCTTACTTAAAGTTAACAACAAACAAATCTTTTGTATTTGCTACGAATTCAAAATTAATTTTTTAACATAATAATATTTCAATTTGTATTAATTTTCATTTTTAAATTTGCATTATACTATTAGTTTTTAATTAAAATTTTTTTTAATTTTTTTTTATTTTTTCGAAAAAAAAAACCAAATAATCAAGAGCCAAGACAAAACATATGCACAAATTTACACACGAATGCCTCGTTACATGATGATCCATGCTCGATACAGGATTCGGTCTGTATACCAATAGAATTTAATAATACCCTGTATAAGTATAGTGTTACATGTGCTTAACCAGATCTTATTTTAAATCATAACAGAAATATTCCATCTGAGCCAGCTGGAAACTGTTTGTTCTATTGTTTTTCAAAACTTTTAAATCTAACCATTACACTTTTACAACTGAAACGACTACTACAACAATCACCTTTTTTGTGTTTATGTTCAAATCCTAAAAGTGCAAATGAGATACTCTCTAGTGGCCACAAGTACGGAGACATGGACTGCCTATATATATATTTGCAAGATTATATGATACAAATATATGCATACATTATCACTATAGTGATGTAAATATTAATTTAGAAAGACAAATCTTCGCTGATTTTAAAGTGAATGATTCTCCGAAATTTTTCCATTTGCTTTCAACAAACTTGCATTTCACACCATTAGTTCCAGTTTCAAAGATTATTTTACAAAACAGAATTGATATTGAAAACATTTGTGAGCTTTCAGATAATGTTTCAGAAAATGACGTTGACTCGGAAATAGATAATAATGAAGTTGTGGCGAAATATACGAACTATGATCAACACGCACAAGCAGATTTTTATTTTTTTAGATATTTTCTAAATAATACTTTTGGTCATTCTTGCGCAAATTGCGATAGACTTTGGTAGAAAAAAGATTTGAAATCGTCATCTGTAGTGCATCAAAATATTTTAAAAACAATTTTACCGGTGAATAATTACTTTTTTCCATTTATACTCTCTTAAAAACAATTTTATATTAAATAGTCGCAATCCATGTTTTTATTTTTTCCAATCTTGTAGTACACATGACAACACCAAACAAAATTTATTACTGTACACTTACATAATATACACTCGAATCACTGATTTATTTGGTCAATTCACTCTTCATAACCTTTTTCTTAATTCATTAAAAAAATTTTCTATAAGGCTCCGTGCATTCTGGCGATCTCAGCGAGGGACAATTTCTCTCACTCAACGGCGTCATCTGACATAGGCGCATAGCGAATAACCTGGCAAGTACTGCAAATTTTCAAGTGGTGTGTACGTGATTTCATTCCACTCATCCAGTTAACTCAGTACCATGTAAGGCACATTCACAAATAGAATAATACAGATATTCATATGATGTTTTGGTACCCCAATGGGCATGTTTATTTAGTGTTTCCAGTAACTACCTAGTAAATCAGGGACCACATGAAGTTACTTAAAGAATAAGTAAACCATACCGGTTCCCGTACATTTTCTGAAATAAATTTTCCGGAATGACCTTTGTTCAGAATGGAAAAAATCTTGAAATTTTTTTTCTGGAATGACTTTTTTCCAGAATAAATATTTTTTTGTTAAAACTGAGTATAGATCAGGGTAATGTTTATTGGCAACAAGCTGGAAGCGATTGTGCCAGTCTTCGCTTAGATTGTTGGTTTTGTGGGTGTTAGCAGAAGCTGCTTCATGTCTTCATACATTCCAAATAGCTGATACATACTGTGATGGTACAGCTCTTTGTCTTCCAATAGCACGCTTCCCGAAGACGTACACCTCTTTAAAATAATTAAAAGGGGGTTTGAGCTACTCTTTAGCTCCGCCAATCAACAGACCGAACGTACGCACAACATCTTCGTAGTCACATTTACGTAGGTACGTAATTACGCCTTCTGGGTATTTTAAGTGGTTATAGCCCTTGCGTGACACTTTTTGGCACGGTATCGGATACATTCTCAATGTATTTGCCCTTGTTCAACCGTACTGCAAGTTTATAAATTCCCGTCAATCTTATCTCAATTTTGTATTTCAAATTTTTGCTTGCAGCAAGCTGTCATACTTATAAAAAAAAAATAAAAATAAAACCCGGCTGTCATCAATTGTGAACTACGGCCGCAACAGGCTTCTTAAGACATTCCTTCCCCATCTGATAGTTGTCTTTGTAACGAGAAGCGATTTTGAGTGCTACGTAGAAAGCACGTGTATTTCATTTTGAGGTTAATTTTCATCGTGTTGCAACGTGTCAATGACTTGAGTGTTAATATTTTGTGATAGTGATTTTCCGTAGATGCTGTTCACGTCAATCCTGAACTTTTAATTCTCTCTTCATTTTCTAATTTTATTTAGCACAATACGTTAAATGCAATAGTTATATTTCCTGGAATTGTAATAGCTTTATCTTTGCTTTATCATCTAAAAGTAACACTTATCAATTTTATAACTTTCACTTTACATTTATACATACTTTAATTTCAGAACTTATATTTTCTTATCTTATCTCTTTTTCTACTCTGACTCATATAACGACTACAGTGTATATTTGTATAGTTAACTTTAGTT